GTCTATGCAGAGTAAATAGACCTCGATGACCCCCGTTCCTTCCAATGATGGAGTTTACTAACTTCTCATCCCTGAAGCCCCCCAGTTACAGGGATATCTCCTGCTGACTTCGTCATCCCTCTAATTATTCATCTTTGGTAAATAGTCCTCTCCAAGGGTCTTTGTATCCAAGTACTTCACATGTCTCAATGCACCTTCATTAGTCTGAAAACAACACGCCACAATCTACCTTGGTTTGCATGACCCCGTTGCCCTGGCAACCCACCCCCCCTGGCGCCACATCCACATCTGATGGAAGTAATCTGCAGCATCCACAGTGGTTGGTATGGCAACCAGTCAGTGTCTTGGGGCACGATGGCGTGCGTTCTAAGGGGCAATTAAGCCATCTTCATACATAAAGGCACGGAGTCAATGCAGAGATCCGCTGTGATTATAAGACACCATAAACTCCAGGGGGGTGGTCAGTGATGATCACCATGAGGGGGGATTTATCAAACCTGGAGCAGTCGCCCATGGCAACCAATCAGCTTCTCTGAATAATATCAGTTTATCTTGAGATTTGCCTATAACTTCAGCTGCATGTACACTATATTGGCAAAAATATTGGGACGCCTGTCTTTACACGCACATGAACTTTAATGGCATCACAGTCCTTAGGGTTCAATATTGAGTTGGCTCCGCCCTTTGCCGCTATAACAGCTCCAACTCTTCTGGGAAGGCGTCCACAAGGTTTAGGAGTGTGTCTATGGGAATGTTTGACCGTTCTTCCAGAACTTCCAAAATGTCTTGGTATGCTGATGCCTTAAGAGTTCCCTTCACTGGAACTAAGGGGCCAAGCCCAACCCCTGAAAAACAACCCAACACCATAATCCCCCCTCCACCAAACTTTACACTTGGCACAATGCAGTCAGCCAAGTACCATTTTCCTGGCAACCGCAAAACCCAGACCTGTCCATCGGATTGCCAGACAGAGAAGTGTGATTCGTCACTGCAGAGAGCACGTCTCCACTTCTCTAGAGTCAGAGACAGTTGGCGACTTCTACGCACTGTGCGCTTCAGCATGCGCTGACCCCGCTCTGTCATTTTACGTGGCCTACCACTTCATGGCTGAGTTGCGGTTGTTCCCAGTTGCTTCCACTTTGTTATAATACCACTAACAGGTGACCGCGGAATATATAGTAGCAAGGAAATGTCACGGTACCATGCTTGAATTCACTGAGCTCCTGAGAGCGACCCATTCTTTCACAAGTGTTTGTAGAAGCGTCTGCATGCCTAGGTGCGTGATTTTATACACCTGTGGCCACAGAGGTGATTGGAACACCCGAATCCAATGAATTGGAGTGCTGTCCCAATACTTTTGCCAATATAGTGTATATGTATCCGTGCCTGGAGGGAACTATTAAATAACAATCAATGTCATCCCTACGTTTCATTCCTACTTTCCATGATGATCATATCTCAATGATGTGTATGTTACCGTGGCAATAACTGGGTCCTGCCAATACATTGTTCCTCCCATGTCACATAGAGAAGGGGGACAGTGTATTGTGGTCACCAGCACTGTTTACCCTGAAATCCTTTGTGTCTATGAGGACTTGTCAGTGACATGAAGGTTCCCTTTTGTCCAATTCACAATCTTATCTCTGTGTTATCACCAACTTCTACCCTGAACTCTCTATAGGCAGGTGATCATATAATGTACATACAGGCAGATGGTGTACTTTGCTACGGCCGTGGTGATTGCTATGTACGTTACCATTGTTAATGTATCACGTGTGCTGAGTGTAAGGAGAATGTCATGGTGTGTGTTCTTTCTATCATGGTTACTATTAAAAACAACACCATGTATATAAATGTCTCTATGAAACTTCTAATATCACACCTGTGTTCTTATATCCAGCCAGTAGGTGGGGCCCTCCCATCCCTAATGTCTTCTTCTCTATCTCCTTACTTCCTTTTTGGTTTTCAGAGCCGGATACCCCAAACTGAATGTACACACCCAGCTCAATACATCAGAGTCATAACTTCCACCCCTCAATATCTCTCTCCATGTCACCTTCCGAGGTTCCATATAGATAGATAGATCTGAGATAGATAGATACCAGAAGCAGACCCCCCATGTTCCTGGTTTTCTCCAGCCTCCATCATAGCACTGATGGATAGATCTGAGATAGATAGATAGATAGATACCAGAAGCAGTGGGACGGTCCCCCATGTTTCCTGTGTCAGGGTGACAGGTACACTTTACAGAGGCAATGTTTCCTGGTTTTCTCCATCATAGCACGAATCTTTCTGTGAGCGGGATTTCAATGCTGGCGGAAAGGTTGGGGGTCTGCAGGGATACGTCTCTCTGTAAAAGTCACGTCTCTTAAATAAAACACACTCAAGCTGTGACCGTTCCCGTCTCAGGATCTTGTGACAATGGCTTCATCTTATATTTATAACAGACAGAGAGGGAAGGGGAAGTGAAGACACGAATGTCATTCTGCAAAGGACAGGGGAGGCAGCAGATGGTTCACTTAATCTACAACTGCATTCTAATCAAGATGTATGCAGACCGGGCAGGAAGATGTTCTCAGACCTACGGCTGGGGGGGGTCTCCGGGGGATTCAGAGCCAAGATGGCCAGGTGGTGCAGCTTAAGTGTTAGCTGCAGACACAATCCTCCAACATTCTTAAAGAGTAATTTGGGTTTGGTTCTTATTGATACATAAGACACGATGTCACTTTTTTTCTATTGAATCTACACAAAAGTGATATTTTAGGTATGGCTGGAATCGGGTGAGCCCCAGGTAAAAATGTGAAAGTCATAAGCCATACAGGGCAAAGCCAAAAGATTAAATTTAAAGCAGAACTATTTTTTTACAGCCCAGTTGGACCCACATTACTTATTATTGTTATTATTACTTATTACTTATTATTTTTTACTTATTATTATTACTACTTATTATTATTAGTACTTATTATTATTATTGCTTATTTATTATTATTATTACTTATACTGCAGCCAGTAATAAAAACAGGCCTCTTTTACTTTTTTTACACTGCTAAGTACAGCCACAAGGGTCAAAATGCCCATTTCTGCCAACACATAGCAGAATCAGACCGTGGCTATGTCATACAAAGCATCGGCCCAGCCTCTCAGCGGAGGGATCGCACCCTCTTTCCTGAACACTGCTCTAATCAACAAAGCTCTCTTGACTGAAGCAGTGTTCAAGGGTTGGCATGTTGGACCAATGGAGAGCCAGGCCTCTGTGTGTGAGAGGCACGGTCTGACTGTTCTATGTGCTGGCAGCAATAGGTATTTTACCCTTGCTGTAACACATAGAAACATAAAAAAAAGAAAAGAATAAAAGTTCTATTAAGCTTTAAAAAAAATGGGTACCAGCAATTTACAAAAGAAAACAGCAGCCTAGACTGCAATACTTGCTGCCCTGCCGGTGTTGTGTCCTGCAGTACTTGTTCTCTGCCACAAGATGTCCTCAATCTTCAAGGCTGAATGAAGACCGGCATCACTTAACCCAAAGGACTGAAAACCAAAACTGGGCAAAATGGTATTTAATTTGAGCCCATCACAATCCTGATACGTGTTTTCCTTTAGTAAATACTAAAAGAAGAGCCGGTACAACTGTAAGAGGAGGTCGGAGTCCAGCTTTAAATCTCTTTTATTAATAACATTAATGTTCACTGGTAATATTACTCATATTAATCTGATCACCATAAATACAGACTGTAGTGTCCTCATAAAGTGTATGTAAACCTTAACACGTGTCCTTGAAGAATTGTTGGCCACCATGCCGTCTTCAAAATGGGTACACTGCTTCAAATTCTCACTGCTGCTTTGTCTTATGGTCCCACTTCTGCATAGTGCTTGATCAAGGCTTTTCCCTTTTCCAGTTGCTGGGTGACACCAGTCCATAAGCATGCAGAGTGTTGTCACCAGAGGGTACTTGTTCCTGTATGGAATCACAAGCCAACATGCCAACGCACACCTCGCTGACCTTGTAGTGAACATTGAGTCACGCTAGATCAAAGCTTGCACACTCAAGGACATGGTTGACAGCACTTCCTGTATCTGTTGCTGCTTATTGATATTAGCCCCTCACATGTTGCCTGCGTATGGAGTCCACCTCTGTGCACACGTGGCTTGCAGGAAAATGTTGTTGTATGGGCTCTGTCAGGGAAATTGCACCATGTGTCCATAGCACGGGGGCACATAAATGGGAAGGGCAGAAATAACATACCTGGGGGTACATTATTGGGCGATACAAACAATTCAGCAATCTTTGTATTCGGGGACATGCAGCCATTGGAGAGTTTAGTTCTACTTTAAGGAAGTTTTATATACGAGACCTCCATTTCTTCGTTCCCAAAGTCCGCACTGGCCTCATCAGACAGCCGGCCCTCTGGGTATTGCGGGCCGCCTTGGAGCTTTTTCTGTATCTGGTCCAACAAGTAAAGAACTCGTTCTTCCTCCCTCTTTGTGTAAAACATGGCCGATATCTTCCGGCACAAGCGTTGGGCGTAGGCTTCCAAAAATACCATAGCAAATAAAATGCAGTAGATGAAGCCCATCGCTGCTGCGGTGGAGCTCTCCGGAGGCCTTGCCGGGCGCTTACAGTGCGGGGAAAAAAATGTCATAGTCAACTCATGTAGTCGGGAATACTCGACGTTCTTTACTTGGAATGCTCCTAAGAAGTTCACCTGCAAAGACAAAAAGGAATAATCAACTTCTCTATATCGTATAACCATCTATAGAAGCCACACATGGTCTTTAAGAAAGCACTGTTTGTTTTTAGTTTTGTAGGGTGAGGAAGGGTGAGGCTGCTGTGTGTCCCTGTTGAGGAGAATTCCTCTTACTTTCTGTGTAGTCACCAAGGCAGAAACATGGACACATGTTCAAAAACCCAACAGAGGTTTTAACCCTTCCCAACTCTGCTTTTCTTCTTGTCTGTGTTCCTGTTGAAGACTTTCTGTCCCACTGACCACATGGGAAGAAAATCAGAGATTGTAAACATTTCCCCATGATCCTCAAAGTTCAGCTTTCAATGGAGGCCAGTCACAAGAGAAACATCGAGGCTTGTTTTTACTTTTGTATGGGGTGGGGCTGCCATTGCTTTTCTCTCTTTCTGAAAATGCTTCTTGCTTGTTGGTCATTATGGCCCTCTTGCGTCAATTTTTTTGAGTCACAATCCTGGATTAAGTATAAAATAAGAACCTTGGGGACCTATCTAACTTTCCTTGTTCTGGGTTAATGACTCTGAAACTATTCAATGCAATGGGCTCTGTACTAATAATTCAAATGTAACAAAAAGCTATGGTCGGAGACTTGTTGGCTTGGATAAATTGCTCCTGTGCTAATCACATGGCCAACTATCTAGGGCTTTGGTCAAATGCCAAAGAGGGGGCTCAGCCAATCTGAATGTTAAGTCTCCCCTTAAACATATAGATCACATAGGCCAGTGCCTAGATAATTTTATGATATGTTTTTGTCATGACAAGTTTACTTTAAATATACTTACATTTGCTTGATATTCCAAATCAAATGTCACTTGTAGAGGCGGTAGACTCTCCACCCATTGGCTAACCACTACGGCAAACTGGAAGACTATGTGGTCAGCGGTTATGATCATCACGGTCAACAGGACAAACAGCAAAATCACCAGACACTGGAACAAACTGGCCCCAAGCTCTTTTTTGGACATCTTGAAGCCTGTTGATTTGATCAGCTTGATGGAGGAGACATTGGTCAGGTTGGATACTTTGTTCTTCTTAGCCAGCTGATCCAGTTGACTTGTAATGTACTTGTTGTCAAACTTGATGTTGGTTAAGTAGCTTCGTAAGTACCAAGCCGCACCAACTAGCGTGTAGACGATAAAAAGCCCGGCCATAACTCTATTGGCCATAAGCATGATGTCCTTGAACAGCGATTCCGCGGCTTTAAAGTTGACCTTTAGCCTGTTCGCTGCTTGGGCCATCTCATTGGACACTGCAGACGCATTGACTTGGGCTACAATGTTGACCTCTCGAGCAAACGTCTTCGTCATGACATAGCTGGTGCTCGTGACCAGGTTCTTCACATCATGAGCAAGGTCTCTGAAGATTTCGGTGGAGTTTAATAGCTGCTCTGTAGAGTGCTGAGAAATGCAGCGGAATATCTGAAAGATGGTTTTGAGGTTTAGTAAGATATTAGGAATGATGTTCAGAGCTATGACCATGAAACAGGTCGAGAGCAATAATCGAGAGCCTTGCTTGGTGCCGAGAGTCGGGATCATGATGGTCAACACACAACGAATGGGGTGAACCAGGACGAGGATTCCCCAGAGAAGAAGAGCCGAGGTGGTGGACAACACAAAGGCTGGAGAATAATCATAGAGAAGGGAATAAAACAGCCAGGCGAAAAGTAAAAATCCAGATAAAGATGAGATAATTGAGCACGTAAGGGCCAGCAATAAGGTTTGCCTCCAGTCTCTTGGAACAGGGACTGAATATGCCATAGAAACTTCTAATGCAAAGGTGTGAACTCTTGGACAGATGACCGTCTGAAAATATGCCCAGCCTGATCTGTAAAGTAAAAAGACACGCATAAAACAAGTCCATCTAAATGAGTCTGCATATATGTATTTCTATTGAGGATCCAGCTGTGGAAATAGACAAAAAAACGTTCTTAATATCATTTCTTTGCAGGTCGAATGTAATGTAACGGTGCATTACGACCACTAGATGGAGCTGAGGTGCATAGGAAATTCTTATTACCCATGTTCTTTAGCTCCATCTAGTGAAATGATGTGGTATTACGTTATATTACATTCAACCTGGATAGAAAATATACCAAGAACTCTTTTTTTTCTGCACAGTACAAAAGTTCATTGCAAATTGTTTATACACAGACCTCTAAATATTCTACTTTCATTCTTTATTTTATGAAGATTTAGCAGGAGGAGTGCTATGAAATAGTGGAGTGTGGTTCATCTCACCAGTGTCCCAACAAATTAGGTTTCAGGATTGAGTGGACAACTCCATTATTTTATGTAAATTATTTGAAAAGTGCTTTTAAATGTCTCCATCCACCTACTTTCTTGGGGACATGTTTTTTTTTAATCTTTTATGCTTCTTTGATGATTTGAAAGCAGTTATTTTTTTTCTCTAATAGCTTAATGTGTTTGCGCATTCTTTTGTCTTTTTGTCTATGAGCGAAAAGCTGGCTGGAAATGCATTAGTGTGTCTCTTGAAAAAGCTCCAGGTGTAGGTTTTATCAGTCTGTGTTTTGTACCGCAGCTTGGTAAGTAGATTATTCGACATTAGGGAGAATGTTTCTGTAGGGCTTGAGGGCTTCAGGAAGGTGATTTTTAATGACTTCAAATAGATGACTGTCGAAAAGATGATTATACAGCACTATCAAAGACTTTCTGTTTATTTAGCATTTACGCATTGGCTCAGAATGGAATGCATTCCAGACCAGGCAGTTACGCGTTATACATGCCTGTTGTAGCGTATGTTGCCTCTGACCATTACTATTTGATGGGCCTTTACTAATGTTCACTGCACCAAGAAAATGTACACCATATGGCCAAAGGTTGGACACCTGGTCGTCACACCTAGATAAGCTTCTTGGACACCCCATTTCAAATCCATGGACATTAATGTTGACCACCCGCCTCATTTGTGGCCCCCACTCTTCTGAGAAGGCTTTTCACAAACCTTTGGTGTGTGTATTTAGCTAAAAGACCATTTGTGAGGTCAGATACTGATGTTGGATGAGATGATCTGGAAAGCAATCTGCTTATCAATTCATCCCAAAGGTATTCAGTAGGGTTGAGGTCAGGGCTCTGTGCAGGACACTGAGGTTCTTCCACACCAAACCCATCAACTATGTTTTGATTGACAAGGCTTTGTGAACAGGGGCATAGTCCTACTAGAACAGAAAAAGGTCTTCCCTAAAAGTCGTTACCATAAAGACCTTTATCTATGCTTGTTCTTGTATATCCAGCATCTGGTCCAGTTGTCTAAAGGATGCTTAGAGCCAGGAGAGACATAAGAAACCAGAGGGGTCTCAGGCTACAAGTTTTCAACCATAACTGATATAGCCATCACAAGGGGATCTTTAAAGGCTCAAGCCGGCCCCCGTCTTCTTATGTATCATGAATACTCCAACAGTAATGTCTCCATGCCCTAATTCTCAATTTCGTTTCTGTCCACCTGAGCATTTTAGGTTCTCCTTCACACTTTGTTTGGGCCCTCTCCTCCCATTACATTCTCCATAATATAAGATATATAAAACATACAGCAGGAATGGTTGGGGGGACTGAACCTTTACAATGTATAGTGCAGGGTGCATGATTCTACAAATTCATTTTTAACTAAAAACAACAGGTATGTCATCACATCTGAGGAACTACCATAACTACACACTAAATATGGTAATATAACTGAGATTTCCATGTACTGCAAACTAGAATACCAGCAGGGTCACTCTGGCCATAATACAAATTGTGCAGTTGTCCTGGGCTGGCTTGGTTAAAGGGGCACACCACCAGACCCCCCAAGTACGCAAATTCTAGAGGCATAACCCTACATATGTCCTGCTGCCTGTCACTGTATGCCATTACATATAACTTTAGGAGATGACTGCTTCAGTGCTTTGCAGGATCCCCGTGAGCTGATCAGGTAAAAAAAAGGTATACTTACATTGGGATAAGCCGGACCAATGTAAATATATATGTTTATATACAGTATATGTACATATATATATAAATTCAGGGGTGGACACATTTATATGGAATTCAGAAGCCAGTCTGTCCAATCCATGAGCCAGTTTCTCTACATCAAGTAGAGAAAACCTAGGTGCCGGATGTCAATTATAAGGTGCATTGGCTACCTGGCTCCTGGGATTAGTCCAGCCCAGACAGACAGACGGACAGATAGATACATCTTGCATGAGACTTTAAATGAGACTCTTAAAACACAATCTTACCATCAGAACATTTAGGACTACCAGACCACCCATACCCACCAAATACTTAAATCATGGTTTCAGGTGGAGTTGTCTTACATAGCTGACCTGAAGAGACATACCTGCATTTGGAGAGGTTCCTGATTGCAGTTGGAATATGCGGTGCCATTGTGGAGAGTATGTGTCAGTGTCAGCTGTTGTCTGAGCTGTCCCAAAATCATTGTCAGCTCACACACTTATTAGGAAGTTACAGAACACTCCTTCACTGCTGACTTGGAATTTTCCTGACTCTCCCACGAAGAAACCCCCGTCAGATTTCTATGTAAAATGCTGAAAAATAAATGGGATATTTTACATTTATTATTGAGAAAAAAGACAGTGCCACGTGGTCTCCATTGTGGCCAATCAGAATGCAGTGTACCCAGATTAATGAAAAGTGATGAAAGTTCTTAGGAAATTAGTTCTTAGGAAAAAAAAAGGCTTTTTTGCAGTCAATGTTACTATTTCTAGGTATTTATATTGTATCACCGTGTATTTTCAGAGAGGGAATGGGGCTCTGGAATCCTTTGGTCATTGGTGTAGTTAGGGCTCTATGAGCAGTGAGTAGTGGTCTCGTAGGACCTGTGAAACGCATCCTCTCATCTCTCAGCAAAGTAATCAATGGAACCTGTTTTCTCTTTTCAGCTCTCTCATTGTTCACAGGCTTTGAATGGGTTTTACATTCCCAAACATGTCTAAGGAAATGTAAAACCCACTTGAATCAGGTCAAGTGCAAGTTAGGAGGAGATCAGCTGCAAATCAAATGTACCTGTCAATGAATTCTGAATGATCTCAGAAGCATCTCAATCTGATGTCACTGACACAAGCAACGCAGGCCCTTATGGTGGCAGATATGATGCTTCAAGGAAATATGCATGTGTGGAATTTACAGTCGTTTGTAATGTAAAATTCGACTTGATAAATATTGTTCACATAAAAAACACACCAAAAGCTCCTGCTCTTCAGATCCATTGCTCTGCTGTTTTTGCTTCACTTGCATGCTCCTGTGTCTTCAGATCACTGTCAGACCACTCACGCCATGTGTTAGAATCTGATTGTACAGTCTTCTATCAATCTACCAACAATTATGGGGTACAGGGGACTGCCTGACTTGATACAAATTGATTGGATGGATTAGGTAGGTCCTTATATTACATAGTTTTGGTAGATCTAAAGGAGATCGTATAGAGCTTGTAAAGGAAAATTGTAACGTGTATGATAAGCTTAAGGCCCCTTTCAGTGGAGCACCTACAGTTCCGATTTGCAGGGGATCCATGCATGGATCCCCTGCTAATCTGAACAGATGTCACATCATGTCCGTCCAGTTTATTCTCTTGCGATGGGGGAAAAAAATGAAATTACTGGATCCATGTTGGCCTATGGGGAATTGGATGTAAGCGTACATGTGTCTGTTTACATCAGATTACCCTGAATACGGCACGGTCAGGTCCATCAAAATGGAACTCTGATCCATTTGTTTTTCTGGACCTGGCTGGAGTCAGAGGTAAGTGGATATAAACGGACTTACGTCCGTTTACATCCGGCTGCCCATAGGCTAACACCGGGCATGTCCCCCCAAAAAACCGACAAATGGACCTGATTGTAATGCCCGTGTGAAAGGATCCTAAAGAAGTAAAGCTTCTATCTCAAATGCTGGGTCAGGTTAAGAGGATGAAGGTGTTTTCTAAATGATCCTGAATGGGTACTTACTGTATATCAAAAACCCAGGTCAGTGTAAAATATTGGGTAAACCTGTCAAAGTAAACCTGTCACGAGAAAAATCATTTAAAGCCCAACTTCACATTGGACAGCTCCCCCAAGTGGAGCACCCCACCCCCCTTTTCTAGACTCTCTCACATATTTTTTTTAAACATTTTGCATATATACCTTATGAATCCTAGCCAGCCACATTGCATCCAAAGGTCATCTACTCCTGCGGTGGCAATGTGCCCTCCTAAATGCTGCACAGAATAGCATTCACATAGTGATGTCAGCACTGTCCTCTGCATCTCCTGTGAGCCCTGGTTAATGTAATGATGCATCCCCATGGGGTAGGTTCAGAGACGCCCTGGCTTAGCAGAGGTTCCTCAAGACCTGAAGATTATTTTGAAGGTTCCTCAGGGGTAAAAAGGTTTAGAAAGGCTGGTCTAGGGTACGACGTGCTTGGAGTTTGCATTGGGATTTCTCCAACAGCAGACAAATATCCTGGAACATAACTCATTTCTGCACAAAGCTGGTCCTAGAAGTTGGGTTTAAATGTTGATGGGGCTTCAGATGGCAAGCTGTACTAGGACTAATGTAAAAAGGTCACTGATCTCTATGTTTCCTGACAAATCGAGTACGTTTTTAAAATATAACCTCTGACCAGTTATATGTTATACAAGCAAAGCTTTCAGCCGCAGAAACTCAGACCAAACAGCAAGAAAAAGACAGCCATTCATAAGTCATGTCTCTGCTGGATCCGCAGCTATATTGGAGCACTGCTGCCATCGAGTGGACATTCCACATCACATCATCTACATCTATTTCAAGTCAAGTCATTCCTCTGTTTTACAGCATCATATGAGAAGTTTAGCTCTTACTTTGCTTCATGGCAGCATTCAAAGTGTTCTTTTAAAGGAAATTTGTATTACAAAGTGTGGAGGCCATTACAGCTGATCTCTTCTTCTGAAAACACTTGGTGCCCGGCTGTTTGCTGGTCTAGCGGCCTCATTGCCTTTAACAGTAAACCAGTTAGAAGGAAAAATTGCGTTCTGAGGATCCTTTTTTCCTGGGTGGACCTCCAGACAAATTTGATTGCTGTCTGAGGCCTCGTTGGGGAGATTTGCCTCCCATTTTCGGGCCCCTTTGTCACCTAGACAGGAAAGTATGGATCCCATCCTTCCTTTACTAAGTGTCATTATTGCTGTTGAAGTGTGTTGCAGCCCATTTATTTTGAATGGGCTGCCTGCCTAATACAGTGCACCTTATCAAATGAAAATGTGTGAGCTACTGCAAATGGCCCTTTTTTATTTTATGATGACACCAAATCCTTACACAGATGAGTCAATATCTCTGACCGTGCACAACTTGAAGGCTCAAAACTATGGCAGACGTCTGACACTCCTTCTCGCAATGCAGGTCTGTGAATCATCTGACCCATGAAATTCCCTCCCTGTGTGACTGATGCCTGATCTTAACAGTTGTTAAAGCTGAACTTGAAAATGTACCAAAAACTGTAAATTAAATGATATGAAAATTATTTCAAGGCATCCCCTGTAAGTTCAAGAGAAAGGATACACTGGTGTATAATCTACTATAGCCACTACCAAAAAAAAAGCTATTGCTTTTTTGATATGGTTTTAAAAAAAGGAAACACAATTGTTGTCATCACTAAACTTTATTTCAAGTTTTGACCATCATTACAGTTGATATAACTTACCCGAAAGTAGCCTCAATTAACACAAAACACTTTACACACACATATAGCTTTTTTGGGGCAATTTGAATACATACATTTATAAATACAAAAAAGAGCAGTGTGGAAATTCATTCTACCTGGCGCCGCAGCTAAAGCGGATCCCGACAATTATGCCAGGATCCGCCCAGCTGCGTGACTGACAGCTGGCTCTGCCTATCTAGAGGCAGAGCCAGCTGTACCCTCCCCCGTCCGTTCCGCCAATCAGCGCTGGCGGTTTGGAGCGGGGAGGGGGGAATCCAGTCCCTCCCCCGTCACTGCAGAGAGCCGTGACAGGATCGAGAGGTGAGCGAACGCCGGTATGTGTTCGCTCACCTCCCGATCTACTGAGCCGACCTGTGACAGTCTCATTGTCACAGGTCGGCTAGAACTATGAGGTGAGTGAAAAGCACTCACCTCATAGTTCTCCTTTAAAAGAAGGATGGGGGGGGGGGCAAAGAAAATGTTTGCTTGAGATGAAACAGCACAGACTTCCCTTTAAATATATACGCCCCTAGCTCATCTTCATAGGCAAGTTCTGAGTTACAACTCGAATTTTGGCTGATTTAGCATGTTGGGGCCCTGTTGGCACCTGGCTGCACAAAAAATCGACTGAGCCAGGTGGAAAATTATCGGCCAAACACTGACTGACTGCATCCTATCACATGCATCTGTCTAATCACAATATCCGGCAGTGGAGATTTCTCCATCAATGTGGTTTAGCATAGATGGAGGAATCTATTGATTTTCTCTTGTTTTATCCCATGGGCTTAATGAGAAATTCTATGCGTGTATAGCTAGCCCTTGAGTCAGTCAGTTGTTGGTGGTACCCCAAATTGTAATTCTGATTGGTTCATTGGGTGTGCTAAATTTATCATAAATGGTCAAAGTTTTAGCAAATACATGACTTATAAAAGGGATCTGGTACTCTAGGATTAAAAAAAAAAAATTATTGAACCACGGGAAGTGACCTTCTCGGTTATGAAAAGTATTGGCCAAACATAGGAGCTGCAAGTCAAATTCTTGCACTTGTACTATGAATTCAAAAACCAATGGGAAGTCATACCATTTGTTTTTAATGTTCTCCTATTATATCTAGCCTTTTTTTCTCTATGGAAGCACCAATAGCAGTGATGTTCAAAGTGAAGGAGTCCAAAGCAACCAATCGCCTAACCTACATGACTTTACCAAAGTGAAAGATGGTTGCTATGGGTTACTGCACCTCACCAGTGCTCATTGCACTGTTCAACTGCTTGTTAGATATCCACAGTCCCATAGAACCGGAAGCCTGGGCTGTGGAAAGAAGCAAGATATGACATCATACGTCTTGTGTTTACCATACAGAGGAACATAAACCAAAGACACAACACAACCATTGATGGGGAACAGACAAGTAAGATGTGTTAAATATGCAAATACAACTCTGAGATCCCTGATTTACACACCATATAGCAGCAGCGAATGATATTGTAGTGGACAGTTCATGGAGTCATTAAACAGTGCCAGTACTAAAAACTGTCTGTTATACATCATCGGAGCAGCTTTATATATGATTGGAGACTTTGGAGCTACACAGGCAGTATTATTTATTTCCCATATTGATACAGTATTTTACAGAATACACAGTATCATTCACATTGTCCACGCCCCGGAGGAGCTCACAATTTAAGGTTTGTATCAAAATCACAAACAACAGGGTCACTCTGGTCCGAGGCCAAGTCACCCATCACTACGGGGATGTTTATAAAGTTTCAGCACATTTGTGTGTCTGGATTAATTGCCCAGTCCCAGACTGGTAATATTGAAGACAGTGACCGTCAACAAATGTCTCCTTACTGGTGGAATATGTAGGTGAATCTAACCAGAAAATGGGCTGAAAGGCTCTTCAGCAAATAAGCATTGAATAGCCCTTCATAAATATGCCCCGACATTGTGACAGGAAGTTCCCAGAAACTTTGTGAGGTTACACAACCTCATTCAGTGTTCCTAGTGGAAAATGAAGCCAGAATCCCATCCCTGCAAAGCCTTAGTGCCAAACACTAAGACAAAATACTGACCTACAGGCCGCCTTTGCTACCTGATACCCTATAGATCAGTGGTTCTCAACCTGTGTAACCCCTCAGGACCCACTTTTGTCCTTGGTCATTAAGTTGCTGCTGTGCTGTGACGGAGCTCCGTCCATACATGCATTGCTTGTACAGCTTTCTTGCGGGCCCTGTAGAGGTGCGGGAGCCAGAATGTGATGTCACCCCGGTCCAGGCACCTCTACAGGGCATGCGAGGGTGCAGTAAACAATGCATGTATGGATGGAGCTCCCTCGCGGCCATAGCTCCAGCCCACCCCACCTCAAGCAGACACTCTGCACCGGGCAGCATAGTTTGAATGGATGATTGGTGCAAGAACTGACAGTGCTGCGTTTGGGGGAGGCTGAGGATCCTCTCACCTAAAAAAGTGGAAGGCACGCGGCGACCCACTAAACACAGGGTCGCGACCCACTTTTGGGACACGACCCACCAGTTGAGAACCAAGGCTATAGATATATATAGTAAGAGACAACATTTAGGAGTCTATTTATACACAGAGCCATTCACCCTGTGAATCTCTGTGAATGTTCATTCTGTGCAAATAGAGGCAAAAATGAACATTATTAATATATTTCCTATTCAGGTAAAATGTATTGTAATACCACGTTATGGCCACTAGATGAAGCTGAGGAGCGTATGAAATACGTATTTATATCCCCACAGAGCGAACGCTCACACAGATTCGCAGAGTGAATGGCTCAACAAATGGTTTATAAATAGACTAATAAAAATAATAAATGTAGTTAACAGATATTATTAGTAAGAAAGGACTAGGGATGAATGGAGTGATCCCTGAGATTTGCTTGCAAAAAAAAATCTACTTTTGGGGTGTATCCTGGGTAGTTTAGTATATTGAATTTAGTGATTTTTGTATTTTGTGTATTTATTTATTTATTGTGTGTGTATTTGAATATTTGTGTGCTATTATTTTAAATTTCTTTTTTTCTTTCTGAGAAAAAAAATGTAAAATAACGAAGGACCAATTTGCTGGTACGTGAACAGGTCCAGGATAGTTGGAAGGAGCTTCCGTAAACCTCAGGAAGCATTTACAGCCTATTGTACCCTTGAAAAGCCACCAACACCACCTTAAATTAGCCTTCCCCATCTATTCCAATTAATTTCACCAAGATTTCAGGGAAAGGGAAACTCTGACTTTCTCTCATCCCTAGTGAAGGCACTGATCCTCATTTATTGAAGACCCTAGAATAAAAAAGTGTTTGTGTTGCCCGGCAACAACCAATTTAGATTCAAGCTTTTATTTTCCAACTGCCATTTCATTTCACAGCAAATTAATTAATTCATCGAATGAATTAATTTACAAGTATTTACAAGTTTACATTTGTGTAATTCATATATAATACATTCGCGAGCAAAGAAACACGAACCTGATCAGCAGGCAATCATGAAATAATACGGTAATTAACATCCTAAAGCTGACATGCCAATATAAGAAAACATACAACAACATACTGAACAATATAATACATCTCTTTACAGTTCAAAGTCAGGTTTTTTTTTTACAACTCTAATATAAATATGCGCAGGAATGTACTAAAACATGGGGGCCATATACAGCTATCCTTGCCTACATTGGACCAGACACTGCCCAACTCTCATACTTTTGTTCATGGTTTATGGGCCACTATATGCTTGGAGCCCAATAGAGGAGCTTTCAGTGGTCAGTTGGACATGGTCCCGGAATGGTCAGTTGGACATGCTCCTGGAATGGTCAGTTGGACATGCTCTTGGAATGGTCAGTTGGACATGCTCCTGGAATGGTCAGTTGGACATGCTCCTGGAATGGTCAGTTGGACATGCTCCTGGAATGGTCAGTTGGACATGCTCCTGGAATGGTCAGTTGGACATGCTCCCGGAATGGTCAGTTGGACATGCTCCCGGAATGGTCAGTTGGACATGGTCCCGGAATGGTCAGTTGGACATGGTCCCGGAATGGTCAGTTGGACATGCTCCCGGAATGGTCAGTTGGACATGCTCCCGGAATGGTCAGTTGGACATGCTCTTGGAATGGTCAGTTGGACATGCTCTTGGAATGGTCAGTTGGACATGCTCTTGGAATGGTCAGTTGGACATGCTCTTGGAATGGTCAGTTGGACATGCTCTTGGAATGGTCAGTTGGACATGCTCTTGGAATGGTCAGTTGGACATGCTCTTGGAATGGTCAGTTGGACATGCTCTTGGAATGGTCAGTTGGACATGCTCTTGGAATGGTCAGTTGGACATGCTCTTGGAATGGTCAGTTGGACATGCTCTTGGAATGGTCAGTTGGACATGCTCTTGGAATGGTCAGTTGGACATGCTCTTGGAATGGTCAGTTGGACATGCTCTTGGAATGGTCAGTTGGACATGCTCTTGGAATGGTCAGTTGGACATGGTCCTGGAATCCCAGCGAGAGTGGCTGTCTTGTTCCTTGCCACTGCACCAATGGAAGCCTTATCATCCTATGACTGTTATAAGAAAATGTAACACTTACATATGTGTTAATTCTGCAAGCCACCTGTGTGTATCGTGGAAAATATTATGGAGCCCTGCACACATTTATCTTGAACCTTTTAATGAAGAAATTAGCAGCACTCCATTTCTAAAATGAAGATTGGAGAGAAAGTGCCTGTTGGTCCTTTAACAAATACTCCATGATGGTCCATTCAACGGACCAGTGGTCTCCAGCATTAAGTAGACTGGGTACCCGGTAATCTGTGCGCAACATAAAATGTGAGGACCTGAGGTATACAAGGCTGCAGATATCTGATATCTGTACAATTCTGAATGAATTGAAGTGACACAATTGTGTAACAATTAGAAAAAAATTACAATTCCTACAAGGTGAGGGGAGGACAGTCCTTCACAGTAAGGCACGGTGTAGCCATTCTGCAGATAGGGCTGCAGGCCCATGCATTGTCACTTTAGTGTCTTTCTTAATAATGTCAGTTTGTGTGACCATGCTGGATTCATAGCTGATGGGTCAGCCACCAGTGGTCATATTGTATGTGCTGGTGACCAAGGTGGTGACGTTGTGGGACTGAAGGTTGACCCAATCTGGAAAGGTGCTGAGCCCAAATATACTGGATGCCCAGGTGTTCATGGCCAGGCTAAGGAGAAGAACGCCCATTAGGTTCATCAGAAGTCCCGTCTTTGCCTGCAGAAGAGAGCAAAATAGGACAAGCAAGTGTTAGAGAGTTGAGTCAATAGGTATACAATAAGCCATAGCTGACCTATGCTTAGAGAAACCCTGGGGCTATCTTCTAGTTAATCAAGTTAATAGCCCAGGACAAATATTTGACAAATAATCCTTCTCGGCCCAAGGAATCAGTTATGTGGGTTGTTTACGAATGCAAACCGAGCCACTTCGCTCCATATACATCTCAGATTACCAATGTAGCAACCAGTATAATTGTTACATCTCAACACCTTCCCTACATCTTTGTTTTGTTTACTTAGTAACAAAGTATAAAAACATACAACATTTGCTACCTTGTTAACAAAACATACAACTTATGATATCTTGTTAACAAAACATACAACTTGTGATATCTTGTTAACAAAACATACAACTTGTGATACCTTGTTAACAAAACATACAACTTATGATATCTTGTTAACAAAACATACAACTTATGATATCTTGTTAACAAAACATACAACTTATGATATCTTGTTAACAAAACATACAAAAAGACAGATCTTTCATAAGCAGGCTTGCACAATGTTTACATTTAAGAACAACTCTGCTTCTCTATAAGCTCCTGCCGAAATCCAGGCAGGGAAATGTTCTCCCACACTGCTAAGCCTCAGAAAGGTTAACAGTCTGTTATACCTTCTGCTCTGTTTATACTGCTCGGTAAATATTAGGAAGGTTCAGTGTTGACTGAACGGAAGGACACATAAGTGACCCGTGCAGCGACAGATTTAAAGGTGAAAGTTTTGATACTTGCCATGTCTTTCACCATCAAATGTCCTGTAGAAAACGCTATGGAGTTGGGAGGCGTAGACACAGGCAGCATGAAGGCATAGGAGCAGCCGACGGTGCCGGGAATCATTAGGTACAGAGGGTTCACTTTAAGACGGATGGCCTGAAAAAAAAGCAAAGAGTCACTCTTTAGTTCAGGGTTAACTTATAGGGGTAGCATGAGGGATATGGTGAGGGCCAAGGTAAGGGCTAACACCATGGTATAAAAATGTAGTTTGCTCATAAGGCTCGGGCTACCCAGGCACCTTTTCCAATCAAGTTATTACTCACGAGACTGTAAGCAGTCTTGTGTGATTTTACCAGAATTTTTGTCCAGTACTAGCAGTCGCCCCTTTAATATCAATACAGTAATGGTAATTTCGTCCCTTAAGTGATAACATAACAAGAGAACATATTGTGGGTTTGTACAGGGGCGGACTGACCATTCGGTCCGTCGGGCATTGCCCGAGGGCCCGCGGCCTTCAGGGGGCCCGTCACCCAGGGCCGAAACTAGTGCCACGGTGACGGGCGCCGCATAAGGTGGGGTCGCTGCCGGCAGGTAAAGCGCAGATCCAGCCACCGCATACCGGCCGATCTGCAGCTGCAGACGGCTGTCTGATGGAGGAACGCAGGCACTAATGTGCCACGACGCATTCGGGTGCTGGTGATCGCACATCGGCAAGGGGCGTGGCTTCGGTGCCATTGACTACAATGCACTGCCACGCCCCTGGGATCTTAAAGGACAACTATAAGGTGAGTGATTTCCACTTATCCTCATAGTTAGTTAGAGCCGATTTGTGACAAAGAAGCTGTCACAGGTCGGCTCTATCGATCGGGAAGTGAGCAGAAACATGCACCGATCCGCTCACTTCTCAATCATTTCCCTGCAGAGGGTGGTGACTGTCAGTGCAATCGCCCACACCGGAACGCATGGCACAACGGTGCAATTGCTTGCACTATTGAGATCACATTACTCCGTGGGCATCGCTGTGGCATGCGTTCCGGTGCAAGTGATCGCACTGCAGGTAGGGAGGTGTGGCTGCGGTGCCATTGACTTGAATGCACCACCACACACTCTTCAACCCCAGAATGCAGGGAGGCTGTAATTATGCAATCCACTGTGTTCCAGCAACAAACTGTGCTGGAACGCACTGGATTTGGTGTAAACAAGCCCTTACACTCAGTTGAGGGCCCGTTCACGCTATCCAATGCGTTCCCCACACAGTCCCATGGGTTGAACACACTGGATAACATAAACAAACGCTCCCTGCGTTCTGGGGTGGGAGGAGGTGTGGTGGTTCCATTCATGTCAATGTGTATGGGAACCAATCAGCTTCTCTCCTCAGTTCAACATTTGAAAATGAGCGAGAGGTGCCGATTGGTTCTCATGCACGGCTGCTCCAGTTTGATAAATTCCCCTCACTGTGTTCTAGTGCAGTGCAATCACACAAAAAATAGTGCATGCCTGATTTTTTGCGATCACACCGCACTGGTACGCAGTGCATTGAGGTACCACATGTTCCAGTGTGGGTGGGAGGCATGTTTGCAGCGCCATTGACATGAATGGAGCCACCACGCCCCCTCCCACCCCAGAATGAGCCTTTGTTTATGCGATCCATTACGTTCATCCCATGAGACTGTGCAATGAACGCACTGGATAGTGTGAACGGGCCCTGAGTGATAAACACACCTTCATAAGGTTGTTCTGGACACTGTTCTGCCATACCTGCCTGATAGTTACCCTATCAGGCAGGGTGCTCGCAGTGACTGCAGCCTGATCTGTGACACAAGAATGTTTATACAGGTGGGACTTGTGGGAGGGGCTTGTATATGGGCGGAGCACAAGGGGGCCCCATAACCATGTATTGCCCGGGGGCCCCATGTGTTGTCAGTCCGCCCCTGGGTTTGTACATATTCTTTATCATGTTCTCAAGGCAGGCTGCTACTGCCATGCTATCCAAGTGCTCTGGGAATCCTTTTTCTTGTAATAAAACAAAGGTGGAGTACTTACCAGTTCCGATAATACCGGGAGGAAGACTATAATGGTCGCTGTGTTACTGGCGAATTCTGTAAAGGAGGCAATGAGTATAGTAATGAGGAGGACGGCCAGAGCAGGATGGAGACCCTCTAATGGCTGCAAACGCCCTCCAATCCAGGTGGATAAACCTGAAACCTAGAAGGACATATATCTTTTGCATTATTAATAGTATTATTACTGGTATTATTCCTATATACATTGATATGGCTGGGCCAAAGCTGGCATTTCCCTTGTGGAAGAGGTACACAATCAATAACAGGCAGCACTTCCTCTAAGCAACCCTAAACAAGGAACTTGAGGCAAGTTTGACATGTGGCAGGCTTATGATGCTGGAAATGTACACAAATGATAACAAAATATCTCTGAAAAATCTTAGATACCTTTTTTCTTTAAGGTCAAGCTATTGTTTAGGTTCCTTTTTTTATATTGAACATTTTTGTGTACATTTTTCATCAAACGATGTATTCAGAAGACAAAGAACAAACATTAAGGGGGTGATACGTCAACGTAAAGAACATGTATCTAAGAACGAACTTGGGAAAGTGATTAGTAACATGGGAACAAATCCAAAGAAGAGGAAGAAAAAGGACTTCCCATATAATATGAAATTACAGGTACAGCCATAGACATTCATACAGGAATCAGTGAAAACAGAGAGAAAAACAACGCCCCGTGTCTGACTGTATGCCAAACATGGGCAATAAATACAAGTAGCAGGGGAGTGCAGGTTCCATGTCGGTTAGGAGCTTACTGAATTTCAACCGGTATTTTTCTGTATTTGCAGTGTATATAAATAGATAAAACATGGGAAAATGTGCTTTATATGTTTATTTTTTCCAGACATACACTTGAAATGTAAAATCCCTAAACACCCAACGCAACCATTTTCTGCTGCAGCTTTAATTTGTCATAGTAGTTTCACTCATCCTTTTGCAACAAGAGCCTGTAAAGTACAACATTCCAAAAGAAAAACAAAAAAGAAATGGCGGGCCGGCACTCACCTCACACCCCTTGGCCATGGCGAAGCCTCCTCCCAGCAGTAAAATAATATTCCATGGAACCGTGTCTTGTGCTTTCTTCCATGATAGCAAAGGTTTGTTTTGTGTATTCGGAGCTGAAGAGTATAGACATCCAAATTGTCAAAGTAAAAAAAATGTCTATTATCCTACATTAATATTTAAAGCCTGTTTTAATCTGCTTATATTTTGCCTTCCCTGGTTCCTCCCTTCCCTCTCACATTAACATGCTAATTAAATTTTAAATAAAACATTTCTGAGTTATGCAAATATTATAATGCTTAGATGGGTGGATGTCATTCTGAAGGAGCGTTCCTAGGCAGGCTGTATATGTATGCAGACGACCTATTACCCTATGTGATGCTGAGCCTCCATGATTGACAGAGCTGAAATCCAATGAATGAAAAGGGCGGGTCAGTCAGGCTAGGGAAGAAAGAGCTAGGTGATGCTGAATGACCATTTTCAGTACAGGAGAGAAGACAGTACAGCTGTGCTCGACTGAAGGGGAAGACCAAAGTTCGGCTTTAGAGGTAGAAAAGGTGGGTATCAAAGCTAGGGAATGGCATAGAAAATACAAAGTTAAAGCATATAAAGAAGTCCTCTTGAAAGATTTGCATTTATTCATGTTCTGTGACAATTTCAAAATTTGGGATTTTCCCTAACTTTCTGTCTTTCTGACAAATAAAGTGAATCTCCCCAGCTAGGACACACATTGACAGGGGGTCTAACCCTTCCCAAAACAAACAAATAAATTTGTATTGGATACGTTTTAATGAGAAACTAAACAAAACCTGTAGAGAGGGAGTCTTGTAGGCCACTCGATTGTCAACTTGTAGCTTACCTTTCATATCGAACCACCAAGTCAGGGAGGGTTTCTCGGAGGGGAAGAAAAATAAGATGATGGATATAGTAATCCCGGTCACTGCATCCGAGGTGAAGCTGCCAAAGAACAGCGAGAATTAATGACATTATTGCATTAGTGAGCATTAGACCAAGAAGATTAACATTCTTAACAACGACCTGCTGTGATTGCTCGGCATTGTGGAATGCCAGCTATCAAGAGAGGCTCGAAATTGATCTACCCATACACAGAAATAGCTGTGAAGTATGACCGCCTTCTATAATCCAATAACGGAGCATCCAATGGAGACCTATGACCCCACCTATTGAGTAGGACACAACATTCTGGTAGATGGACATCTTTCTATTTTTCTAAAGGAACTTCTAGGAGATACAAAGAGTTGGGGTGTGATTGAGTCCATCAAGCTCAGTCTGGTATTGATGTACCCACCAATGTGTGATTTCTAATCTAAGGGGAAGAAGGCCATGATGTCTTACCCAGGGGTGAACGCTGATGACCATCCAGGGATGAACTTGGGGTCTCTGGTGAACAGCAAAATAGCAAACAGGCAGAAGAAGAAGAAGACGGCTTTCTCTGCAAAACTAAAGAGACAAACTCATGAGACATAGATGAGACATTTCTAGTATGTCCGTACAACCTGCCAGGACATGAAGCATTCATTAGACAGATGGATGCCATCATTACATCCCCAGAGGACTTGTCAGTGTCTTTTTGATGCTGCAGCCCTGACAGGTTTTTAGGAGAAGAGCTCCAGTCTGTACCAGACAAAGGTCAAAATTAAAGAGAGGCCAACAAAAATATCTGAACAGGTAATGGTATTCAAAAAATGGATCCATTGCCTAAACTAGGGATGCACCGATACCACCTTTTTTAAGCCCGAGTACGATACTTTTGATCAAGTACTCGCAGATACCAATTACCGATACTTTTTCTTAAAGGGACAGGTCACATTTTTTCTAAAGCACTACAAACTAATGCTTTAAGGTCACTTTCTTAATATTATGATTCATGAGATGACGAGGGAGCAGAATGCCGGGCGCTGCGTCATTACACGGCGCCCGGCTTCCGGATTTGCTAGCTTCCTGACCAATTGGGAAGCCGGGCAGCGCTTCATTGCACGCTACCCGGCTTCCTGATTGGCCGGGAAGTCGGCTCCATGCTCTCTCATCACAAGTGACGAGAGAGCATGGAGCCGTTTCCTGGCCAATCAGGAAACCGGGCAGCGTGTAATGATGCGCTGCCCGGCTTCCTGATACAGGAAGTACTCCTGCTAGGTATCGGAGCATTTGGGCGAGTACGAGTACTCACCCAAATGCTCGGTATCGGCATCGATACTAGTATCGGTATCGGTGCATCCCTAGCCTAAACCATTGCAACCAAATTCTGCAAACCTTTCAGGGTACTTCTGGGGGGGCCTGTACCCTATTGTTACATGGCAATGGATAGATGTAAAGTTTTGGGCATCCTCAACTTGTCCTTTCATATCCTGCACCAATTCTTTAATTTTTTGATGCACTAGAGACTAGACATTCACCTACAGGGATGCTGGAATACAACCCTATAACTGATCCCAAGCAGAGCAAGAGTTGACCCTGCAGCTGTTTTTATTCCCTTACTCAACATTCCCTTACTCTGCCACCTCTCTCTTTGCCCAGGGAAGAACTGTACCTGGTACTTCTGGGTATGGAGAGCATGTGACTTCATCCCGGTCCTCCCACATGACAGCGCTGGTGATTGGCTGCTCAGGCACCCAGTGCTGTCACATAGGTGCAAGAAGAGAGTCCTCAGCCCTGTGTAAGATTCAAGTCATGCCTTGGTGATTACAGAGAACGTCTTCTTGCCCCTCTGGATGAATGAAGCAGCAAGAGAACAATGTGAAAGGTAAGAATGAGCAGCTGGTTGGGTCGGCATTCAACTGCACCTATTTTTTGAACCTGCATGGACACTTTAATTGTAAGTTACTGGGGTGGCATGTCTTAGTATCTACAGAATAGCAGCAAGTATCAGTGGATTGTACTAAACACCCTTAAAATGTATCTAATTAACCCAGGAAAGTTTCCCCTACAAAAAGTAGGTAAAATGGACTAAGGAGGTTGTTAAAGTGTAGGAGGGCCATGCACTTGGTCTTTGCTGAAATTACCTAATGCCAGACAGGGGAAAAGGGTAAAAAACACTCAGGATAAGAAAGTACATGCCAGCAACACTTTACTCACATTGTGGGGCCCAGCTTTCTGTAATCTTCATTGATCACTTCCTTGGCTTTGGCCTCTGCATCTGTTCGAATCTCAGACTTCTTCTCCCTCCTGCAACTGATAAATCCGTGTGGAAAGCATTGTGTGAGAAATAATAATTAAAAGTATTTTCAAGCGACACTTTATGACTTAGCCCAGAGTTTTCAGTATAGGAAATATGGGGTATAGTTGGTTAGCACTGCTAAGATCTACATCATGAACACCATTGCATAGTTTGTATGCATTGATATGTGCATGTGAAAACACACAGTGCATTGTGGATGCAGAACAATACAAATTCAGGAAAATCTGCACTGAATATGGCCATGGACCAAATTGTTCAGTTCGGTCTCATGGCGTCGTGGGTCCTCTTCCTCCACTCCTTCCTCTGGTGGTGGGCAGATGCTGAATGCTGCAAAAACATTGCAATGGTCTCTCTACAGAATTCTTCTGTGAATCGAGGGTGGCTTGATGGGACAACCCCAGGAGGTTGCTCCTTCACACCCTGGGCTCATAGCAATTTAGTTGAGTGAAGCTGGAAGAGGAACATTGCTGGACCATAGAAGATAACACATGGGGCAGCTGTAGAGCATGGAGAGCATAAGTATTGCCTGTCATTTTGGCCTTGAAGACCATGGAGTAGGGCTTTACGGTTTCCTCATCTTTTTTAACATGCCAGTAGGTGCCATACCTGAGGCTGATTACTCCGTGAAAAATTGAGATCCATAGCCAACCAAGTATGAGAAATATGATCATCAGCGGGAAAGCAAAGACAAACCAGGAGCCAAAGTTCACCTCGTCACAGCCTGGAAAGAAGCTGCATAGAAAATAGACATGTAGATGATATTGTATGTAGACAGTACTGAAGGGAATTGTGCAACAAAAATTTAGTTTACATATGAAAGGGTCACCTGGGAGTCAATGTCTTACGGGCTTCTATATATGTTGCTATATGTGTGTGGGCCTTGGGTAGTGTGGGGCCTAATACTGGAAGTGGGGCTTAAAGAGCAAATTTGATGCAGAATACACAGGGCCATCCCTATAATAATGCAGCGTGAGGCAGTTGCTTCAGGCGCATTTAATTGGGTCACCCCCTTTCCAGCCACAGCGTCCCAGGTTGCTAAGAGAAAAGAGCTCACTGTCTGGCATCCCACCCAGCTCATTGACTGACATTCTGCCCAGCTCTAGGCAACCAGTGTTGTCAGTGAGCTGGGTGGGATGCCAGACAGAGGTCCCGTGCATCCCTCCCTGTGCCACCAACACCCCTCCAACCCTCCCCATAACATCGGCCAGCAATTATCCCCTACCCCCGGGCCTCAGGTGGTGAAAATAGTAGGGAAGCCCGAGGATACAATTCAAGTGTTTCAGAGAGTTCTCTGGATTACCTTAACGCAGCCATAGTACACACAGCACCTCATAGGGTCCCATAGGGAGTGTACTTCCTGAAACCTGTGCTGTGTGACCTCCTTTCTTTCCATGTTTTCTGTATTATTATTTATATTTTAAATCCAAAGGCAAGCTTGAATCTGATTGGTGGCTATCAAAAATGTCTTAGTCCTGTATTTTACATCAGATTTTCTATATGCAAGAGAAGCCTGCAGTGGGTGTGTCTGGGAATTCTTGTCCTGGATCTCAACCTGTGGTCCCCAGATCACCAAAAACTCAATAATATGCTGGCACCTAGCCTTTAAGACAAGTCAGTGTTGGCCTATCATTACTACCAGTGGAATTACTCAATGTCATGAAGTCTAAATAGATATTTTCTCCTTCCCACTGATGGCCAGTGAAGCAGAACAGAACAATCACCTTTTCAGCTGTCCCAGAAGGATGAGGTTGGGTGCTGTCCCGGTTAGGGTGGCGGTTCCCCCGATACTGGCGGAATATGGAATGGATATAAGGAACGCCTTCCAGATTCTGTTCTTGTATGCCTGTTCTTTTTCCATGTCTTTGTGCATATCAACCGATATCTCCACCTTCTCAGGCAGCTCTTTCCTGTAAAGAGTTAAATGGCAACGCTACTTAATTTTCAGTGATGAAAGCAATATAAACGCATTTTGTCACTGCAATAAAGTGAACCTGTTGCATTGCCAAGCATGGAAAAAGTACAGATTCACTTTAAGCCTAGCAGTAAGAACGAACAAGGTTGGGTTAGAAGTTACATTGTCCACTATAGATTTTACACTTTAAACAAAGCGGCTTCTTGGTTTATTAGAGCACCAAGGGGGTGACACATGGCCTCTTTTCTAGTATCATGGTCCAAAATCTATTACTTGCAAGTCTCTGAGGCCATTACCCTGGAAATATGTCCCTTTCCGCCTACATTAAAAGCCAGAGTTCAATAATTGCCCTAAACACACTTAAATGCATGCATATTATTAGATACATTGAGGGGACTGGAGCAGAGCAAATCCAGAGCAGTTGTGGATGACAACCAATCAGCTTTTTTGTTTCCTTTTCAAAGCTTAACTGAAGAAAGAAGCTGATTGGCTACTATGGGCCACTGCTCCAAATTCTCTCTGCTCCCGTTTTTAATAAATTCCCACCATGATGACTACAAACATGTGTTTATGCCATTTTGGAGCACAAGAGCACATAAGAAATGCCCTGTGCATGTACTTATATCCTGTTGCCCCAGACCCTAGCCCTCAGAGCCTTATGACAAACACAGATTGGATGCTATGGAGGGTTGTGCCATCATCATTGCTACATTGCACTGCCTTTTTATTAGGGATGCACCGATACCAGTTTTTCAGTACTGATACTTTGCTTTCGGTACTCGTTGATACTGAGTACCGATACCGGTGCTTCTGCTGGCTTGATTGTGCTTGGCCGGGAAACCGGCTTGCCAGCCAATGAGCATCGAGCCGGCTTCCTGGCCAACCAGGAAGCTGGGAGGCAGGTCAATACTCTCCTCCTGGCCGGCTCGATGCTGGTTGGCTGGGAGCCGTCTTTCCAGCCAGACTTTTTCAGGTGCTGTGTGATTACTTCTATGGAAACTGGAGAGTCCCTCTTCTTCTCCTGTGATGGAATAGTTGGCTGCTATGTGACTGTGACTGTCATCCTGTGTGAAGTTCAAGTCTTTGGTTAACCTGAAACATCGAAAAGATGCTGATTGGCCGGGAAGTCGGCTTCCTGGCCAATCAACAAGAAGCCGCCCGAACAGCCGGCTCAATGCTGATTTGCATCGAGACAGCTTCCCGGATCTGCATAGAGACGGCTTCCCGGGCCAAACAGGAAGCCAGGAGGTGGGTCATTACTCGCCGCCCAGCTTCCTGATCGCACTGGATGGCTCCATGTTCCCCTTCCTCTGACCAGAAGTTCCGGTATCGGCGAAGGTAGCGGAGCATTCGGGTGAGTACAAGTACTCACCCAAATACTCTTTATCGGCACCAATACCGATGCTTGTATTGGTATGGGTGCATCCCTACTTTTTATAGGGAAACTATCAAGCTTTTGGGTCAGTTGTATTTTACATTTTTATATATAATATATTAAAACTTTTTTTTTTTCTTATTTGGTACACATCTTGATTTTACAAACAAATCTATAATACAGGGTGCAGCTATAACACAAAGCAGTGCTGGTTTTCAAAAGGAAAATCACAGCAGAAGCTGTTTCCTTTCAGACTGTCTCTTTCAAACTGAATTTCCAAATGGCTTCATCTGAACAAAGCAGCCAGGGAGTATTAGGAAGAGTCACTCATCTGACTCATTATGTATGTGAAGCTGAGTTTGAGTAATTGAGTTCTGCAACAACAGGCATTTTTTTTAAGCAAAGCAGCTGAGGTTTGTTTTCCAAACATAAAATAAGAGTCTACAGCTCTATCTGCAAGCCGGGCATGTAAATATAAAATATCCAGATATAATATTTTATGTCCATACAATATATTGTCCTTACCATATTAAAGTATATACAAAACCCTTCCAACAGTCCCAAAAGCTGACCCCAAACCCAGGCTTATTTCTGCCGCCCTTCACCTTTTCTGCACATTTCTCCCTTCTAATCTCTGTAGGACTACTTCGAGCCCTGAATACACAAGTCCAAACCTCTCCTGACTTTTACCTATTGATTACATGAACCATTCCCTATACTAAACACTCACAGGAGGGTGATACGTGCCCCATCTACGTTTGTTTAATCGCTTTTACTCCCCACCTCTGTTAGTTAAAGATTTGTTCTGATCTGTACATGGGGCAAACATGAAACTTATTACATACATTCAAGTTTATATGTAAACTTTAACATGTCTTATCACGGTCACATGTGTGCCGCGCAGGAAATTGGTAATTTAAAGTTATTTTAATGGACATTATTTTCTCATTAACACCGTTAAATTTTTCACCCTTTGTTAGGACACACGGTGTTCGAATCCAGGTTACTGATAATGAAATCTGCCAGCACAGTACAGACAGGGTTATTGATGGTAAACATAACTTTCCACAGCCCCCTTCTTACCATTAAATGGGGGGCCAAGGTAGGATGTGTTGTGTGCAGGTGTGGAAGGGCACCATGTTAAACCCTTAATATGGGCGGAACATGGTATAAAGGTGAACTTAGCCTTTAAAGTAGCATTGTCACCGCCGCCAGTACCGATGTGATCTTCCGTTCTCCATTTCTCCTGGTTGCGCGGGGGAGGATACTGATGGCAGAGGAGCCATAGGCTCCTTCTGCCATCAGTCAAAATGTTGGGCAAAGAGGAGGAGCAATGCCTGCCGCAGTGCTGTGTGTGTCTATGGACACACACAGCCACTGCGGGAACAAACACACACGGGTGCCTCCGCATCAGCTTCTTAGCTGATGGAGGCACCCGTGCAGGGGGCGGGGGCATGAAAACTGCAGGGACCCACTAGAAAACAAGGAACTAAAGATTTTTAAAGAAGAAAGGGAGATTTATGTAAAGGTGGGACTCCTAGGTGGAAAGATAGAAAAAAAACCCTAAACTTTAATATCACTTTAAGTCCTGTTGTGGGCTGACAACACACAGCATTTTTGTGGACTGTGTGGTGTCAGCCGTGCCCAGTGCCTTTTGATAAACTACTCCCACCACTCCCACTCTCAGATCTCTACAACCCTGCAGTTTGGGTGAAGGATGGCTCTTTAAAATAGGAGGGCTCTTTAAAATGACACAAAGAGTAAGCTTAGTTACTTACTCCTCCATGCCGGTAAGCAGCTGTAGTTCTGTGGACACCGGATGTAATCCCTTTTCTGGTACCGGAGCTAAAACACAGCAAAGTGCAGATCTTATGAACTCCTTCATCTAACATGATTAGGAAAATAAATTATCCAAAAGCTCATTTAACTTTATTTAAAGTGAAAAAAAACTAATCAAAATGACATTGGAGGGGCAAATTTTTGTGGGAACTAACAGAATGCACTACAAAGCAGATCCCCTGATTGGACAAGGGAGGAGTGGCGGAACACTGATTAAGTCACCACTCTTCTCTCCCCTCACAGACAACTCGGCATGCATGACTAGAGCTCTGACTAGCTGTGAGTGCTGCACCCTCCCTCTTCCAGTGCTGTGCAGCAGACAACAGAGGTCTAATATAAAGGCGGGTTTAGGCACTTTCTTTGGGGGTAATGGTACAATTCCAGTGTCTTCTCTTGCCCTGGCTAGACACTAGAATCCACCAAGCAAGCCTCATATCAGTCACTACACTTGGGAGCAGTACACTACATGACGCAAGAATACTGAGTACATTCTGCTCATACATTACTCTGAGATTACTACTTAATCAAGGCGTGAGGAATAGATATAGTACATACACACTTGGTTTAGACCAGGGGTGGGCAATTCTGGCCCTCCTGCTGTGCTTTAACTACAAATCCCTTAATGCATCTGCCTCTGGGAGTCATGCCTCTATGTGTTAGTCTTGCACAATGCCTCATGGCACTTGTAGTTCCACAACAGCTGAAGGGCCATAGTTGCCAACCCCTGATTTAGACCTGTATTGGATAGGAATTGGGGTGAAAGAAGCAGATACAGAGGCACAGTTATCATGAACTCTTCAGTATCTTACTCTGTCTTATTAGACGTTTAATCATTAATCTAATCCATGATCTGTCTGTAGTAATGAGAGACCTTTAACCCGCCTGTCTTAATGCAGCCAAGCAGCTCAGGACAGGCAACATGTTTGTTTGTTTTTTTGCTTTTAAAGGGAAAATCTATTTTTTGTGTATTTCTTTATGATGCTCAGGGCCAACATCTCAGAATTACAGTACACTTAAGGCCAGCAGTTCTGTACTTGTTCATGTTTACCAGGCTGATTACAACTGTTAGTCTTTAAAAAGCTCAGTACCTGAAGCTAAGATCACACACACAGCTAAATAAGTTCAGGGATGATCACTCTCCCTCCCTCTTCTGCACAGATCTGTAACGTTTCAGTCGCAGAGACTCATGCTGAAAGCAAAGAATATCAGATGTGCTCTCCCAAAAGGAAGTTTCTGTGTCTGTAGAAATTCAGCATGGTAGGTGCTTTTCTAACTGTTGGTGTGAGTTACCTGGGCTTTGCTCACCGCCCTTCTTTCCTTTGTCTTCTTTAAACTTTTCTCCGAAGAGGCTCTTCAGGATGGCGTTAGCTATGGGAAGCATCATGGCGGTAGAGGCAGTGTTACTAAGCCACATGGACAGAAATGCGGTCGTCATCATCATCCCCAGAATAAGCCTGCAAGAAAAAAAAATGGTGTCCAGGGAGGAGACTGAATTGAGGCGCTCAGTGTCAATCAGATGATGCAAAATTATTGGTTGCATTTCAATGGATATACAGTATGTATACACACATGTGAAGAATTGCCTCAGGCACTATGGGGGGGATTTATCAAAACTGGAGCAGACAAAATCTGGAGCAGTTGCCCATGGCAACCAATCAGCTTCTATTCTCAGTCTGTTCAGTTAAGATTTGAAAATAAAGAGACAAGCTGATTGGTTGTCATGCACAGTTGCTCTAGATTTTGTCTGCTCCAGTTTTGATAAATGCCTCCCTATGTATTGCCCACAGCAGAGGTCCCCAATATTATAAACACAGACCTCAGCTGGCTCACTGGTACAATATAGTGCATATGATTGTCAAAAGGAGAATAAGTGAACAAAAATACCGTACCTGGCGGGCTGTACTCCCACCAATATGAGGACCTTGAGGGCAATCCGCCTGTGGAGGTTCCACTCCTCTATAGCAGCAGCCATGAGCAATCCGCTAAGAAACAGGAAGTTTGTGTCCAAGAAGTACTGCGGGCAAACCTTGCTGGAGGGCAGGATGCCCATGAAAGGGAAGAGCACTATAGGAAGCATGGCAGTAACGGCCAGAGGTAGAGCCTCCGTACACCAGTAAAAGGCCATCAGCAGGACCACAAAGAGACATTTTCCTTCCTGCAACCATAAAGAAAATTTGGCATTCATTAATGTATGTACCACATGACACGTGCCTGCTCATTGGTAGAAGGCATGTCATATAATGCTGTTATGTGTACATTGGAAAGTTCATGAAACATTACCTTTTTTTAAATATTTTTTTTCATAATGAGGAACAAGGTTCAGCCAAGGAGTCCATGATTAAAAGACCGGGCTATTGCTATTATGTATTGCCTCAATTGTTGCCCACAAAGTAACTGCCCATTTCTTGCCTAAGTATTGGAACAATTGGTAGTTTATTGCCCATATTAGCATGACTGCCCATTTGTTGCCCACATAGTGTAATGATTGCTTGTTTGCTGCCCATATATTGCCATGACTACCCATTTGTTGCCTGTGTATTACCATGATTGCACTTTGTTACCCACATATTGTCACGATTATCCGTCTGTGTCCTATGTATTGTCATAGTTGCCTGTTAGTTGCCCAAGTTCTGTAGTGATTCTTTGTTTACTGCCCATGTATTACCATCATTGCACAGATTGTATTATCACATTTGCCCATGTTTTGACACAACTGCCAGAATGTTATGCACATATTATAATGACTGCATGTGTAACATGATTGCCAGCGTCAAGACAGCATCACAATACAACGTGACCATTGTACTGTGTATTGGTGGGCATGCATCTTGTCTTCTGATGTTCTGGCAGCCAGTCAGTGACATAATTCCCCATTTGTTGCCCATGGATTGCTACAATTGACTGTCTGTTGCCCTTGGATTGCTACAATTGCCTGTTTGTTGCCTATGGATTGCTACAATTGCCTGTTTGTTGCCCATGGATTACCACAATTGCCTGTTTGTTGCCCATGTATTACTACAATTGTCTGTTTGTTGCTCATGGATTGCTACAATTGCCTGTTTGTTGCCCAATGATTACTACAATTGTCTGTTTGTTGCTAATGGATTGCTACAATTGTATTTTTGTTGCCCTTGGATTCCTTCAAATGTATTTTTGTTGCCCATGGATTCCTTCAATTGTATTTTTGTTGCCCATGGATTGCTACAATTGCCTATTTTTCTGCCTCTGAATTGCCATTTTGCCAGGGGGTTAGCCACATATTGTTATGACTGCCAGTGTGCCACTACATATTGCCTGTGTGTTGGCACTTTTGCCCATGTATTACCACAATTTCATGTTATGGTGCCATCTGTGTAGGAAGCCAACACTGTTTTGAGAACCATGATATTTCTATAATGTTATAATTGCTTGCAGGTCTGTCAATATCAAACTATGAAATTGGCCACGCCTCCAATTTGTGCATGGTTGCTACCCTTCCAGCAAAATGTTTTAGACTCAAGTTCGCAGGTATGGTCTCATCACATTGTGTCATTTAAAGCTCCAGTCCCCAGGTCTACCTTGCTGTCCTTTATATTATGAGAAGCTGACCCCAGCTATTACTGTATGCAGGACACTAACCTACAACTAACAGAAAACTAACAGAAACTGGTGGCAGCATTCTTTCCTGAACATACAATAGCAGCTGGCCAATTGTCATTGCTTTAGGCTTCGGTGGCACAACCACAACCTGATCACAGAAATTGCTTATCTAAAAAAAAACATTGCCAGCGATCTCTTCCAGCCATCCAGCCATGCAGACTTGTTAACAATGTAGTCCCACTTTTTCTTTTGCACTAACAGACTTATTTTGCACCACATAAAAGGACACAGTGTCCAATTTAAAGGCTAGTTCCACCCACAACTGATATTTAAGTTTTAGGTAGGCATCAGCTTGTTGGATCACTTGCCAGTTTGTTATACATCTCCAGTGGGTACATTTTGCTACATGGTTTGGTTTCTCCTTCATCTCTTTGGGGGAATTTTTTTTTTAACTTCCTGCTGTGTAACCATCACAGGAAATGAGGCAACAATAAAGGCACTTTTAATAGTAGATAAAAGTTAGAACCTCCATGAATTAGTATTTTTCTGTGGGTCAATCTCCCAAATGAGGACACAAACAGTAGTAAAAACTCTACTTTGAAATTGCACTCTGAGCTCAAAAACATTCATCAAAATATATTCCTCAATAGCCATAAGGGATATAAATCTACTTGTGCAGCAAATGCCTTTATAAACCCAGATATTACCATATATCTCATATAAATCCAACAGGCTCCACACTACAGGCTGCCTGCAGAAATCTATAGGAGAGGGAGGAGATAAGACCAGTCACCTTGTACAAGGAGAGAGCAGCAGTGACCGGTCTTTATTACAGGAGGGGGGCGGAGACAAGACCAATCACCCTACACAAGGAGAGAGCAACAGTGATCGGTCTTTATTACAGGAGGGGACAGAGAGAAGACCAGTCATCCTGCACAAGGAGAGAGAGAGCAGAAGTGAGCAGTCTTTATTACAGGAAGCAACGTTTCACACTGTATTACTGCACAGATCTGGAAGAAATGCACAAAGCTCACCAAGAGGCTAGTAATAATATACATGCCTCTTCTTTTTAGACAATATTTGCTTAGCCTAAGGTTCAGCTTTGATTAAAAGCAATGGACCCATGCCTATGTCCAATCCACTCTACCTATCCCCTTCTTTTCTACCGCCCCACATGCACTTTTTCATTTCCTTTTCTCCTTTTTTCTCTTTCTCCCATGCAGCTCTTTTATAAACGCACATCACACTTTTATTGTTTTGTTACTTGTTGTGTTCTACTACCCTTTGCATAGTACGCCCTTTTCTCCATTGGTTGTGACATTTGCAAGACCTAAAATAAAGTCTTCATTTGAAATAATGTGATATGTAGCAATAACCACTTTGGTTTTTCTTTCTTTCTCAACCGATCATTTGATTTAAGTACAAATGACAAATACAGACCCTGTGGTTCATTCAACCGGGCCCACAAAGCTTTGAATGTTCCTTTGATCCCTATAGGAAGTGAACAGCTGAACTAATATAGGATGTGACCTTCACAACCTGGCTGCTCAGTAAGCAATCTCATAAGGAGAACGATAAAAAAGAACGATTGGAAGGAGGGGGGTGAAAAGGCTCAGAAAAGGAAGAGGCGAGTATCTTGGTGTTACTGGACAAGAGTACACATGTATAAATCCTGATTCTGGACATTTCTGGCAATTGTCTGAATGTGTAGATGTATTGATTGGCTGAGATAATAATTGATTAGATGGGTGAGAGTAACTACTGATGAAATGCCCATCTGCCATTATTCAATACATGGGTAGATATATTTCAAAAAGGAAAGCCATACAGTCGTCCTTTTTGGCACCTGTACAGGGCAAAGCAACTGGTCCACTTTAAAGAGGTCCCAGCACCTGCTGATACTGACCTACCCTTTGCTTCCTCATCGTAAACCTGTTCTCTTTCTTGATCACCCAACCAGCACTCCAAAAACGATGCTGTGACCCATCTCTTCATACTACCTCAGCTCTCTATCGGCTACAAACGGAGTCAAGGAGTGAGGACATATGAAGCTCTTTGTGTCTTTGGCCATGGTGGACAGGTTTCATTTTGTAGGAAGATCCAGGCCCCATGTTTGGGGCTTACTGATGAGTGGTGGATTGGACTTTGTGAGGGTCCTGGACTGCTCAAAGTTTAGAGGTGTTTGGCAAAGTTCTGGTACCCTAACTTGGTAGCTTCTGTGCATGTGTGATGAGGAATGTCTTGAATGAAGACTCAAAAACAGGAATAAATAAGGGGGGGTGCGCTATCGCTTTTCCCTGAAACACGCCTTGTATGCCTTTACTGTGTACAAATCTTCACCCAAGGTGCTTCTCATTGCACAATGTGACCTTTTAGAGGTGACCTTTTAGAGATCTGGCTACTGTTTGTTTGACAGAGCACCCCAGGTATTTAGTGCCCCTTAGGGTTTCCTTAAAGTGGTTAAAAAACAAGATAAATTGGCCAAAATTCTAGGAGAAAGTGTTGCTCCAGATATCCTTTAGTACTGCTTACATTACCAAAAGCCTGGGTATTTGGTCATGTGATTTCTGTTGAAATGACAATGTGCTATTGTTCCAGGGCCCCCAAAAATGAGAACCCTGCCGTATGTATTTTAAGATAATAGAGGGGCCCAGAAAGAGCTTAAGGTCCCCTACATGTAATTCCCAGCATGACATACATGTACAGAGGAAGATGTGACCTTCTAAGTATAATTAAGTGGGACAGAAGAGGGGCAAAGGGACAAATTCTCTTTAAACCAACATTTTATATACAGCCCTGCTTTAAAACTCCTTGATTTGTTGTTTCCGAAGCACCGCATATTGACATTACTTATCTGAATCAATGCATCACCCATTAAGTGGAAATTTACTAAAAAGAAAAATGTATAATCTCCTTTACGGCCTTGCGTATTATCACGTGGATTAGAGCAGATTAAGCTCATTGCGTTACATAAACATTTCACTAGATTTGGAGAGAAAAAAAATTGATCCGGCCAAAGTGTAACATGTTATAAAGTGTTAAAACTCATTTGAAGCAACGTGTCTGCCAAGGACATTGTTTATGGATGCAGCGTACACAAGCGGGTCATTGTTTGTTGGTAGATCCCGCTGATGTAGAAAACGAGGACTAATGAAGACAAGGGGTTGAGGTCTATAAATGCATTGAAGTCTACCAATGGTCAAACTTGGGAACCAGGTCACAGTCAATAAGGATGGGTAAACTGAGGGTCAAGCTGGGAATAACATGTAGGGGACCTTAATTTGTTTTGGGGTCCCTCTATGATCTTACAATACATATTGCAAGGTTCTTATGTTTGGGGTCCCAAAACAATAGCACATCGTTATTTTAAATGCAGAATGCCAGCTCAGGATAAATTAACCAAAGGAGGACATCTTCCATGTGTAGCTGTTTTCATTTTGAACACCTATTCATGTATAGAGGAATTAAAAAAAGCATGTTGATTACACATGATTGGTGGATTGAAGTGAACACTGTTTCACTATGTCAACTGAAAAATTTCCTCTTTTAGTGAAACAAAAATCCAGTGCCAGAACA